TGACCCCACTCCCAGGAAAAGGATTTGGCCCCTTAACCAAAAAAAAAAAAAAAAAAGCCAAAACAGTGAGACACACTTTAAAAAACTCACAGCTATAACAAAAAAAAAAAAGTAAAAAAAAAAACTTTTTTAAAGTATTAACCTTTTGGAATTGAATGTAAACCCAAACGTTTTTCAGGCTTTTAGCTCATGCTATGCCCTACATTGTGTTGGTCTATAACATTGAATTCCAATAACACTGTCGTTTGAGATTGCACTGTGCCAAAAATAAGTAAAGGTACAGAGGATTAACACTTTTGCAAGTCATAAGTTGTGTTAAGTTATTCCTGTTCTTTGTGTGAAGAATTTACTCACTATTTGACGTTTTAACACTTTAGGATCAGCAAACCAGATTTATGGCAAGTAAACACAAATATCATCTATATTAAGCAGGAACTGAAAATGAACAAAATCACAGCAAGCATACATTCATACAAACATTTTATTACATGCGAGTTATATCACAGTACAAAGCACACAACAGAGCAGCTGCATTATTTACAGGAAAGCCAAATGTCAGGTCTATTTCAGGCATTGTACTATTCTGACAGGCTTACACTCCTTATGTACAACAGATGACCTCTGGTGTTCTTATTTCTCTGTGGTAATGACATTTGAAATCCAAATATAGCAAATCCTGAAAAGTGGACTCAAGTTTAATTATAACCTGTTGAAAGGCTACAATGTGTAACACCTGCAACTTTGTCCCCCATTAGATTCGTACTGATTTAAGATCTCTATTAACTTGTCAGTTGCTACTGACTGACTGAAGTAACGTCCGCTGATGCTGCTGTTGTGGAGAGAAGTCAAAGGGTCTGCGGTTCTCAGCGAAGCCATAAAGTTTGCGTAGAGCCACACGTGCCGCTTCCTCCTCAGCTCCGACAAGCGTCTCACCTGGACCTTGAGCCAGGAGTTTTGTGCCACTAGATGAATCAGAAAATAAGCAAAACAGGAACATGATGCATACGCAAATTATTTCTACGAATCTCACATTCGAATGACAATATGTAGCAAAAACAGCATGCACGATTGCACATGTACCTGTACAAGCCGACAAAGTAGAGCGGGAGAACAGTACTGGCTCCCGCAGACCTGATGAGACGAGGTTCTGGCAGAGGAATATTTCTCTTTGTAAGTTCCTCCACCAGCAGTCCCATTGGATTCACCACAGTCCACATATCAAACAGGTCCTTTCCCATCAGCTGAGTCAATAGGAAATCCTGTGAGGTAGCAGAGAAGTTGGGGATGAGGATCATTTACTGTAAAAACAACCTTAAAACAATTAAATTAATTTAAAAAGAAACAAGCACCAACAAGTTCCTTACTCTGAGAAAGAATGCAGCTCGCTCTGCCCCACTGCTTTCCTCCAGAGCTCCGATCACCGCCATGAAAGTGGAGTTCAGCACCTCGTCCGGAACAGGGAATTCTGCACTCATTGTAAGATCCTCTATGCCAAGATTTCTTGCAACATAAGTCACAACTGACAGACTGCTAAGGTGCCCCACAATGCACTCAACCCCCTCATGTGGCAGACTAGGAAAGCTTGCCCTGCACCAGTCGGTCAGGATGCTTTTAGTCAGGCCTTCTCCCTTTTTGCTCAGCTGAAGATTGTCTTTCAGAACCAAGGCCGTGGTCTCAGAGTCAACGTCTAGCTGTTTTCTCCTCTCCTGCTCCGCCTGCACGTAACACGGATTGACGAAGGCTGTTTTAAGTAACTCCAGAGAGAAGTTTTCATGGAGACGGGAACTGAAAGCTTGAACCTCTGAATGGTAATCCCAATTAGGCTGTTGCCACCTTAAGGAGATGAGGAAGAGAAGACAGTGTTTTCCATAAATATTACAATGCCATTCGAAAATGTTGGCAAAATGAGCAACTAGACCTGCTGAAGAGCTGAAAATATAAAATATAATGAACTTTTTTTGCCCTCATTAAGGTTGTGTGAGCAACAAATTGTTTCTGCAATCTAAAGCTAAAAAAGTAGATACTTCCTCTACTTCATCATTCTTTTTTATACTAATAAAAAACAATGCCACATTAGGCTCCTAAACGAGTGGCCTTGAGATGCTCTTTAGCATTAGCTAAATGTCAGTTACCGTGGCTTCGGTGGCGGAGGTCCTTCGAGCTGTAACTTCTTCGCCATAATATATGTGTAAGCTCTCATCCATCGTTTCTTCTCCCTAACCTGTGTCAGTGAAGGGCTTCTGGAAACCAGCTGACACTGCAACCTAAATGTTAGCACGCCACGGTTTAACATGCCCGCCGCCATGTTTCCTCCTACCACTGGCGTGTGTTACACTGATAAGTGTCCGACGCGAACAGAACTCTCTGTAGGGGAGTAACCATGGAAACCAACGTAAACCATAATTAACGTTGACAAACAAAGCGGATTGCCAGATAGTTATCCAGTTTGACCATTGACAGCCCCGTGTTTCACTACATTTCCGCAACTAATACTTTTTTTAAAATTTCGTCTGCGGATTTATTTAAATATATTTTGCGGGAATTACACGAATGTGAAGAGGATGGACGATAAGGTGACCACAGAAAACGCAACGGAAAGAGCAAACACCGACGATATTTCTGGCAGAAACGGATCAGGTGGGATTATAAAAAATACACTTGAAGAAAAAAATAAAAATGCACACCAGTGGGAGACCTCAGTGCAAGAGGAAAAACAATCAGAGCCAAGGATGACCAAGAAGTTCCTCAAAGACCTCTGCAAGAAGAACAAACTGTACTCCACACCTTGCTTGAATGACACTCTGTACCTGCATTTTAAGGGTTTCTCCAAGATTGAGAACCTGGAAGAATACACAGGGCTCAAATGTCTCTGGCTGGAAAGCAATGGTCTCCAGAGGATTGAGAACCTGGATGCTCAGACTGACCTTCGCTGCTTGTTCCTGCACCAGAACCTCATTTGCAAGCTGGAAAACCTGGAACCCATGAAGAAACTCTGCACCCTGAATGTCTCCAACAACTACATCCAGATGATAGAGAACATCTCCTGCCTTCCTGAACTCAGCACTCTACAAATATCCCATAACAAACTGGAGAGTGCGAAGGACGTAGAGCATCTGAGTGAGTGTATGGCCATCAACGTGTTGGACCTGTCTCACAATCTGTTACACGACCCTGAGATTGTCTCTGTGTTGGAGGCAATGCCAGAACTGAGAGTGCTGAACCTGATGGGAAATGAGGTGGTGAGGAAAATCCCAAACTACAGGAAGACCATGATTATCCATCTTAAGCAGCTCACCTTCCTCGATGACCGGCCCGTGTTCCCCAAAGACAGGGCATGTGCAGAGGCGTGGGCCAAGGACGGGCTGGAGGGGGAGTGGAAGGAGAGAGCGGCATGGGTGTCACGGGAGAGAAGGAAAATCCAGGACAGCTTGGATGAATTGGCGAAAATTCGTGAGAAAGCCCTGGAGAAAAAACGCCTGCGGGAGTTGCAAGCGGAAGGTGAGCATTGTTTAGCTTTTATTTGAACAGATATTTAAAAATTAAATGTTTTAACTGTATAATTACTTTTCTTTTAGGGAAAATTGAGACAGCTCCTACTTCAGTCATAGCTAGTGAAGAAAACATGGAGACTTTGTCTTTCTCTGAAGGAGAGGATGTCCAGATCTTTACGGAGGGCAGCCAGGAAGATTTGAAGGTTGACAAAAGTGAGGCAAACGACAGAGACCTCAACGCAGAAGAGCTGGAGGAGGACAAGTTTGATAAAGAAAATGATGATCAATTTCAAATCGGGCACGAAACAGAAGAGAATGTCTGGGCGGACTCTGTACAAGATGGACAGATGCTGCAGATAAATGTGGGAGAAGAAAATCACAAGTTAACAAAGGATAAAGAGAATAGGTTGTCTGAAAACACACAGCCTACGCAGGTTTCTCCTGATCTTTCAGAAGAAGATGAGCTTGTACCGTTACATGGTCCTGGACCATTAGTTACAGAGCTGGAGGACGAAGAGCAGCTGGAAACCATCCACCTTCCCATAAGCCAGTCACTGCGTATTGACGAGCTGCCCGACTTGGAAGATGTGGATACAGAAGACTTCCCTGGAATATCCCATCAGCAGGACTCCAAACCAAAAATAGAAGTCATATCAGGAGATGGCGATGAAGAGACACCGACTGAGAATCAGGGCGGTGGCATCTTCGGTCTCAGCCATGACGGAACGTCCTCGTTGTCTCCAGGTGGCTGCAACAAATCAACTGGGCTCCCTAACGATTCATCACTGCTCTATCCAGAGGATGATGATGTTCTTACTCACTATCCAGGATCCAATCAACCTTCCTCAGAGAAACAATGCTTGATTGAGTAAGTGAACTGATACCTTTAGATGTAAACATGTTTTTTTTTTACAAAATTGGCCTTCTGCGATATTTGAAATTACAAAACTTTTATCCGACCGTCAAACGTGGCCTTTAGGATGTAACTGGAAATGACTCTCACATAAAGAGTTGAAATTCAGCTTGTTTGATACGTTTCAGCACATTTGATGAAAGAAATCCAATTTTTAACTGATTCGACTTCTTGCAGGTACCCCCTTTTTCAAGACTTACAAAAGCAAAAGTTCATGTGGACTTTTTTGTGTAACAGCAAATTTACAATGTATTTTTTTTTCCAGTTCTGACATCAATAAAAACAAGAAAATGCTTTGCATGTATTACTTTAATTATTTTACATTACATTTCCTAGGTGATGTCACATATTACTCCCCCTGCAATAAATATTCCACATGTTACCACATAGCAAATGTCTCCACGTTGTAGGTCAAGACCAATGCCGTACTGCTTCAGTAAGTCCTCCCACAGCTTTAGGTGCCATGAACAAATATTTACAAATCATTTATGACTGGGCAGAAAAGTTTGGAATAAAAGCAAAACAAGAACAAACAAAAAAACATGGACAGGATGAAATAAGAGTAGAAAAATAAAACTGTACATGTGTTAAATAAACAAAACCTAGAATATCATTCCTGTGCAGGTTATGTCTCATAAATCCCAAAACATTTTAACACACGGACAAGATGCAGCGAGTAGTTAATATCCAATATATTGAATACAGACCAGCTCTAACGCCGCATCCACACCCAGGTGTTAACGAGCCAGAAAGCAACACTGATCGAGTACATAATCATTTCTCGCTTTGCTCTCTCCTTGTTCTCGTCTTCCAAGTGTTTGAGTCTCTTGTTCAACTTGATGAGCTGTTGAGACACATTAAAAAAAAAAAAAAAAAGCTAATCGTTTTCTACTGTTTCTAAAGAATTCAGTCACCTGGAATAAAATATTTGTTAAAGCTAACCTGGCGTCGAAGTGTAGTCGCATCGACGGCCGTCATGTCATCAGCAGGCCCTTCCAGGGCACTTTCATTTGTCGACAATGCAAACCTTAAAGGCAGACAAAAAAATCCTTTCAGATTTTTTTTTTTTTTTTAAAACCAAACCAGCCACGGCTCCTAGTAGTAACTTTTTAGACTATATATTTCAGGTAAACATAATGCCGTGGCTGGGAATTACTGGACCTCATTTTAAAACACAACGAGTAGTAGAGCCAAGAAAGGTTAAGGACAGGGAAAGAGAAGGAAAATATGAAGTGCCAGGTGAAGTTACCTGGAATCAGGCAAGGGGTTGGAGCTCAAACCTGACCCCCCTCGCAGAGACGGTTTGCTAAAGATGTGGGGAAACACAGAGAAGGGAGAAGGGAAAAAGAGATCTAGAAAAACACAGTGTTCCACATACCACACATGCCACTAGAGCCCACAGACTGAGCTTGCTAGGCATTCTACGATGTCATAGTTAACACGAGAACTCCTAATATGTTACTGGAGGAGAGATCACATGTGGGAAGCATTTTAAGAAGCCTCTCCCATACCGCACACAAGGCAGAGTCGGAGGCGGGGCTGAAGATGAAGTGTTTGTGTTTTTCACCTCAAGTGAACCTAGGCTAGACTAGGGATGAGGGAACCGAGAGGAACGCGAGAGCTAAAAAGTTAGTAAAAATAAAAAAAAAATAAAATAAAAAAAAAGGTACTTTTTCTAAAGTATGCAAAGTTACTTCTATTTTGCCACAGACCTTTGGTATGTGGCAAGTTCTGAATTTAAATTGAACATTGAGAACTACACTTTCTATACTTGACGCTCTTTAGATTAATGGAGCTGATTTCTCAAAAGTGACTGTTCACCTTCCTTCAAAGGTAAATATGAAGTCTGATTTCAAAAAACAAGTCTGATGACTGACTCAGCGTTCACTGCCAGGAAACCTGACGACTGCTCTTTTAATCACATGTATTGTTTGACTTTAATACTTGCAGAAGAACTGGCTTTATTACAAGCCTCAAGCTGTAAGCTTAAGTCATCAGCCATGTCTTCTTTTATTGTTTTTAGAAACTACTCAATATTCTTATCACCATTATCTGTATCCCAGGACATATTTTTATTATTATAAATCGCCAGTCCGTCAACCGTGCAAAAGAGCATAAAATCAGCATCGGCAAAAATTGGAATAAGCTGCTGGGAAAACATTTAAAGAAGTTTGCATTTGACTCGCTGCCAATAATTTTTACAAAACAAATGACCGGTTAGTTGGGAGGTCACCTGCGTGGGTTCTCATCCAAGACCTCCAGGACCTGCTGATAGGCCCGACGTGTAGTGGACTGGATGAAAGACAGAACACCGCTAGCGCTGTACACGTTGTGCTCTTCAGCCATGTTGAGGGAAGGGCGTGACTGGTTAGTGGTCGGGGGGTGCGAAGTTGTACTGCTCAGTGCCCACCATTACAAGGAGCACATTTGACAGGAAAGAAGGGAAAAGGGTAGAAGAAAAGGAAGGACAGGGAGAGAAATAAGGAAAAAGTACAACCCCCCACTGTCTGTATAAAAACTTAAGGCAGATCAATGTAAAGAAAAGAAGCAGCGACGGAGACCTGTCAGCCATTTTAGCAAAAGCGCTCAAAACGAACAGAAACAGGCTAATCCCTCTCTCGTGACGTGAAAGCAACTTGATGAACTTCATGCCACATGATGCTGTGCTGCAGAAAAGAATCTGGAGGAGAAAACGTCTTCCCTTCACAGGCTTTTACTCTTCGCCACAACCTAACCGTCTAATCAAAGTACACATAATAAAACCAAAGCTTTTAACTCATTGATGTATACAATAATAATAATAATAATGAAAACTGACAAGACAGGCCGCTTTCATTATTTGTCAGCAAGCAGCAGACGTTCTGGCAGACGAGATGCAGCCACGGGGGATCAGATGGAAGATGAGAGTGGACCAAATAAAAAGTAAGAGCTAGAAGAACGACACGGCTTCCTGCTACATGCAAACCTCAGCAGAGCTAAGACGGAGCTTAGATAATGATGGCATCTGTGACGAAATACTTACGCAGATTCATTATGAGTTAGTTGGCGGACGGCTGCATTCTCACTGGCAGAACGCTCCCGCCTTAAACGTCCCTGGGGGTGCACCTATGAGAAGAAAAATGAAGACAGCTGATTTATGCTTTGAAGCAATGATGTTGCGTCACCAAGTAGAATCGCGAGCCCTTTGTACTTATAAGATGTGCAACTTATAAGCTTATGCCGTACCACCTCCTCAGTGTCTGGAGCTGTCTGATGCTCCTCTTCCAAGAAGTCCAGGGGTCCATCACTGAGGGTCAGGACTCTGGGAGGAGTTTTCAGCGCCAGAGTTTCAAGGGGTGTTGACTGGATGAGGTCTAAGTCTCTGGGTCTGGGGAAGTGGGCGTCTGCATCTGCATCTCCTGACAAATCACAAGGTGAAACTAAACAATCAGCACTAACCCAAAACATGCAAGCCATTGTGTTCTGCATTAGAAACTGACATGCCAATATCTCTGTTTCATTTTCAGTTTTTAGCAGCTGACATGATATGACGTGGAAAACAAAATAGCCCCAAAGCATAGGGTAGGAAAATGCCTGGACTTTCAACTGTTGGCTCTGTGTTGTTTGTAAGTAGTTGTAACAAGGATAAGGGTATCATTGGATGGCAGTATTATTGTTAAATATCAACTGTAATAAAAACACATTCTCCTCTCCTTCTTAACTGACATTGCAAGCTTTCCAACTATCTCTGTGACCTTTATTCTTTTGGGAACTATTATCTGTGATAGGCGTGGACGCCGGATAAAAATGACACTCCATCAAAAAGCAGAATCTAAGCATAAATTTCTGACACTATGATAAATGTTGCCTTCCAAATAGAGTTCTGTGATATTATTATTGCACAAATTATATTGCAAATTAAGATATATTTTTGATATAATGTGCAGCACAAGTTGAAAGGTGCAGATTGTTAGACATAGCAACATCTTTTTACACATTTTCCCATCTCTAAATTCCAAGTTTCAAATCATGTTTGCCAATTTTTACACACGACATTTGAGTAGATAAAATCTGCTCTTAAAAAATGGTAATTCAGTGGCTGGATGTATTACCTGTGTGTTGCACAAATCATTTAAATAATAGTAAATAACTATTTTATGGCTTTATTTTAAAAACTTAAAAGAAGACATACTTAAAAATCTTTAACACTTGTCCAACTACGACTGCATTTAGTTTATTATGTATTTCAAAGAAAGTTAAACACTGCAGATTCAATGCTTTACTTCCAACTAAGCAAGTCAAATTTTAAGAACCACATATCCATTTTCAAACTCTGACTTAAAGTTTTCAAGAAATCAAAACAAAATAAACTGTCAACCAGTGTTTGTTTGTTTGTTTTCTTTTCAAATGATTTTACGTTTATCTGTAGGTTCCCATTCACAAATCCACACTAAAACACTGATACTAAAATGTTAAACTCAAATAATAATGCGGGGAGGCGAAAATAAAAGACACCAACCTGCAATCACGATCCTGTCTGGCACTTGCATTATGACGCTGGGGGGCACTTCCTGTAAACCATCGCCGGGCTCTTCGTGTGGATGAGGAGCCACTTTGAGCTTCTGCGGGATGCGCATCTTCTGGCTGATCCCCTCGGTGTACTCCAGCTCATACTGAATGCGGTTTATCTCCGCCATCTCCACAGTCGGGGATGGAAATGCTGCTCCGCTCATTTGACTCTGTGGAATCAAAACAGGAGGAGCTGTGACTCCCAAAAAGTGATGTTAGCAGTACTTTCATTTCCCAGCTGCTGTTGTACGTTGACACAGATTGTTGACGTGGTTTGTTTATTTTTAAACAGTCCAATGTTGCTCAGTCTCGTGGTACTATCACATGATAAAAGCAGAAAAAACAAACACCCAAACCGCTTCGACTGTTGCAAGAAATTTATGCTGCCTAGCATTAAGCTAGCACTGACTTATCAATACCGGAAAATAACAAACATATTTTACCAGTAGCAAACTAACGTCCACATTATTTATAAAGTACGTGCATCTGTCTTAATCAGTAATATGGCCAGAAAGATGATGGAGAGTAAAAAAACAACTTAGCCTCCTCGCCATTTCGAGCTAACACTTTAGCGCGGTTACTTACCATTCTAAATGTTGACTAACGCAGCGACCTCTCTAAAAGACGTATTTATTAAATAAAACCAGGAAGGGACTTCTGTTGGTGTTCCAACGTATTAGGTTAGGAACAAAAATTCAAAATAGTACAGCTGTCTAACATCTCTTTGTATTCATATGAGAGAGGAGGTTCCTCTCGCTCCTTGCCCTGTTTCTACTTTAAACAGGAAATGTTTCTTGTTATTCTTGATTTTTTTTTCTTGCGGATGGCATCCAACGTAAAGATACATTATCGCCATCTACTGTATTGGAGGGTATAGTTTAGTGTAAGTTATATATTCATTTAATCCATTTTCCTTTGAAAATAATAAGGAAATGCTTTATTGGTCTTTTTATGTCTAGACTAATAATGTCGTCACGCCATGTTTATTTAATTCTTGTTTTTAGCTTTTCACATTTAATTATTGTATGCTCTATGTTTCCAGTAGAACATACTGGAAACAGCATGTTGATGCCACACTCACGTTTACCTGTTGGAAGTTTACCCATCAAATGTAAAGTTTTATTTAACCCTGTTTGTCTTAATCACAACCTTGTTATAGCTGCTTTTACTCTAAATTGCATTCTCCTTACTGTCTATTGTATGTGATGACATTTAGTCCATTCCTCCAAAACTCTGCTGCCAGAATGGCTTCTGAATAATACATTTTATTTCAGATTTACCAAAATGCCATTTATATAATTCTATCTTATTTCTGAGACTGCTTGGTTAGAAGATCTGCCACACCATTCCCCTCCATATCAGGCACCCAGATAAACCAAGCTATTACTTGAGACTGTGTAAGTCTAAATATAATTTCATAAATTTAATTCTCCAACTCTGGATGGCTTTCAGATGACACTGTTAATTAAAAGGTCAAGTGAACCTCTGAAAAGTGTGCAGGTAGATATAAAGGTTGAAAATTCAGTTTATCTAAAAAAAACAAAACACACACACGTACACACACACCACACACACACAAGAAATTAAGTTCAACGTCGAATAAGCACAACCTTCTGTAATAGACTGTAAAAAAAAAAGAAAAAGAAAAGATAAGAAAATAGACTGCGACATCAAAGCAGGCACATTCAGCGTCCTACACCTCCCCCTCGCCCCCCACTTTGGCCCCCACCATCCCGGGTGTTTGTGGGTGGTGCATTTAACACGGAGGCTCCCAAAGGCTCAGATAGCCTCCCCTTCACCTAATCAGTAGCATGAACCGGGAATCAAATCAAAAACATCACTCCATGTTAACCAAAAATCTCTGAGCTTGAACGTGGACTTCCATAATTTTGTCAGAATGTTTTGGATTTAACGGGCTTTTTTTTTTATTTTTATTTTTTAGTCTGCACAGCTGAATCTTCAACAACGTGTCTGTAAGCAGCTGGAACTATGTTTCCAAAGATTTTCTATATATGTGTGAAATTATTCAGCGCTATGCACATCGCATCATCTGCAGACCTGCAGCTTGGCATGTAAGTAAGATGTTAGTTTCCGTCGCTAATTGGTGACTTCCCAGGTCAGTGAGAAAATGATACTTTAACATGCGATATATATACGAATGAATGGAATTAGGAGACACGCTGAATTTTGATAGACAAATAAATGACTCCTTATTTTTTTTTGAAAATAACTTTTGTTTGTGTCCTTTATGTGTGGTCTGCCCACTAGGGGTCTCCATTTCAGGTCCCACGGAAGATAGGATGTGTGCTGTACACACAACAGCAGTTTTACATCGTCCACTTCCAGTGGAATGCTACGTTTTGTTTGTTTATCCATATGGCACTCTACCACTGAGTTCCAATTTCAAATAACCTGCGAGATATTTAAGGAGGATTCTTTTCATTAGGGGACAACCACAGTACTTCCTCTAATTAACTTCAAGCTTTATTGAAGCCAGATGCCTCGTGGAGGCAGGCAGTTGTAAGGTACAACACAAATGAATTCAAGCTAACTAAACACAGTTGTCTGGAGTTTATGTTTGTACATTGATTTATGCAGGCATGAACTGTGTCTGTCTGTCTGAGGGATCTCACCACCATCACAATTAAGTCATCCATGTACAATGACCAACCAGTATTGCTGTAGTGTTACTACGTCACTCTTTTCTCTACCTTCCCCTTGCAAAGGCCAAATGTTTGCGCCACCCAGGAGGTGTCCATGTTGGGGGTCCGCCAGCCCTGTGTTCAGGCGTTTACCCGCATGGTGCAGGTGTGGAAGCAGGGCTGCACAAGCCGCAGATGGTGTTTGGGATTTGAGAGAAGGTAAGAAAAATCCAGTTTGTATCACATGTACTTTTAACACCATTCTCAAAGTTGTCCCCATCTTAAGCAAGTAGTCAGAGATAAATGGTCCATCATGGCCGAAAATGCCCAGAAAATCTTTTTATTTTTCCTTTCCTACATTTTGTCATGTTACCACATCAGTGTATTTTATTGAAATCTTTTAAAAATAGAATAAAAAAGGAAACACGATGCATCTCTTTCAAGATTTTTTTTAAAAAAAGTTATATAATCTGAAAAGCATGGTGTGCATTGGTTTTTCGTCCCCTCTGATGTAAATATATGTCTTACCATTCACTGCATCTATAGCAGCTAGCTTCAGGATAATGTTGATTTTGCACATCTGTAAAGACAATTTATTGCTCATTGTTTTTCAGATTTATGAGATGAAGAGCATCTTTGAACTACAGTTTGAAATTTTTGCAACAGATTTTCTACTGGATTTCAACTTGATGGTGGGCTATAGTGGCGATATGCGATTTTAGTTTTGTACCACGTAGGCCGTAGTGTTTTGTATCCAGGCGAAAACATTTGATTTGGGTCTCATCTTTCCAGAGTGCCTGATCCCTCATTTTCAGATGATTATCAAAAAAGAAAAAAAAAACAAACCATGCAACCATATATATTTTTTTGTACTGGTCTACTATGCCAAACAAAAATTCAAATAAAACAAAGTCAAGTCTGTGGAGGTAACATGACAAAATGTGAAAGGGTTGAAGTCTCTTTCACTTGATCTTATGTATTTTGTATAACAATGACTATTAATGCTTTGTGCTTATAAAATACTACAGTGCAGCCTCTAAAAATATGTACATGTAACAGAATGTCTTCTCCTTAGGACTGCGTACTACACAGCATACAGGCAAACGTACAGCATGGATTTTCACACAGTCTATAAATGTTGTCCCGGTTGGGCTCAGAAAGATAATGAGATGGGCTGTCTACATAGTGAGTAAATAAGCATCTCATTATAAATTGACATATATTCATTAGAAAATTGTCGGTTTTCTGCAAAGAAGTGCTTCACTTGTTTCCAGTTAACAGAACCAAATATATCAGCAACATGATGGTGTGTGATGTTGAATTATCCACAGGGGTGTGCAGTGCTCATGCCTGTCTTAATGGTGGGAGATGTGCAGAGACTGGGGAGCGTATTTGTCACTGTCCATTAGGCTTCAAAGGTCCCCGGTGCCAGTATGGTAAGGTTTTCATTTCCACTTACGAGAATACTTACCAACTAAAAATATGCTGTTATTTTCAATACCTTTCGTACTTTATGAAATGTTTATAGTTACCTTTAGGTTTAGCGTCACTGAACATAGTTAAATTTGCAGAAAACAAGACATCCATTAACTGTTATTAGCGTTTCTCAAATTTCATGCTTTACCTTTTTTAAATCTCTAATCTTAGATGAAGCTGTAATTGGATAATGCCGCAGTATGGAGTTGCTATTAAAGGTAGAAAAAAGTTTTTTTTTTTTTTTTTAAAGGGACTAATTGGTTTTAATTGGCTAAATCAGGAATTTGTGGTGTCTTTGGCCAAAGAGTTTAATGAAGTTACATTTTTAAATCAGTTAAATCCAGCCAGTAAATGTAAAAGGATAATGCAACACGTCTGTTGCGTTGCATCGACAAACTTCAACATCTTTTGTGACTTTGTCTGCAAAAGCACAGAGTACTTCTAACTTTTGAATTGAAAGAAAAATAAGTCACATTTTCGTTTTACAAATTAAAACCTAAAATGTTTGACATATTTGCATCTGTCTCCAGTGAAACATGGTGGTATTAGCATTATACTGTAATCATGTGTTGATGAAGCATATACAGCCTTAAACAACAAAATGTAAAGGGATCGTACATGAACTATGTTGTGTAATGTTTGGTTGCTGATTGGTTCTCAGTGTATGCTCTTGCTGACCTGGTTGTCTGTATGTCCCCTGCGTGTCCAAACTTAACAGGGTGAGAGTTGTTAAAGTTTTAGAAAGCTGTTGTAGAAACAGAATGCGGTGGAGATGATATTTGGTCACTACTCTCACGTGCTTGGAAACCAATGAACACGCACACGTACATTGCAGAAGTTATTCCATCTGATTCCTCAACCTTCCCAGAAGGGAATGTCCTGTCATTGCACTGCCAGGGATTTTAAACAGATCTCTACTTGATTCATTTCACAAGGATATTTGTTAAAGACAAAGCTCCTCGCTTTTGTTTTTACATGAGCTCTTTGGTTGTCACTCTACAAGGTGGCAGTTCACAATCTGAAGTGACCATTGTTTTTCATCCTTCTTTCCTTTGCATTTTGTGCTGTAATCCACCATGGTCTTGGTCTTCTCACTTTGTAAAACACTTTACCTTCTCCCATTTCCCCTGACAGATTTATCCACTAACTTCTGCTAGACTCATTATGTGAACTCAAGCCAAGTGCCTGCATCCAGTCAGGTTCCTTTACTGAACCCCCTCCCCCCCCCTATAAAACAGTAGCAAATGCAAACTGAACACCTGAAAAATGTGTCAGTAATTCTATTTCTTTTTGGCAACCTTTTCTAATTTTCTGGTGTACTGTAGATATTAAATCTTCATATTTCTGGATAAAAGTGTTTATTAATCTGAAACACGTTGAACAAACCCGAAAAATACCCTGAGATTTTGAAAACTTCTTCACAAGTTATGAGAATATAAATGCTAGCGTTCTCTGTGTTTGATCTACACTTAGGAAATGTTCATGATTAAGTTGTGTGTGCGTGTGTCTGTGTGTGTGTCGGTGTGTGGAGTGGGGGAGAGGACGGGGTTTTGGGGACCCGCAAGAGGACGCAAGCAGCACCCCTGCCCAGACTCATGTGCTCATGTGGCAGTCAGTATCTTGCCTCTCGCTCAAACCTCTCTGAACATCTGCAGTTTTCATGTGATACAAGTTAAGACGTATAAAAAAAAAAAATTTCCTGGCACCATTCACTGGATATAATTGTAATTCAGGCAGGACAAAATGTTTTTCATAAAACTCATAGAATTAATCTTAAGCCTCGAAAAAATGTTATGCTTATGTTTGGCATGCTGGTATTTATTTTGGGTCTGTTCGTGCAATTATAAACAAGATAGATGAAACTTACATTACAGTGAATATGGGAGACTTTTTTTTTGTTTTGTGAGCTTTAACATACCTCAGTGACAGATTTATCACTGCTTCCATTCAGTTATGATAGAGGAAAACAGATACAGTATTGACCTGGGAATATTGATCTATGTTGATTTATTTTGGACTTTTAAGATATTTTACTTAAAATAATTTTTAATGTAGTTTTTTCAGATTTACCCTGATTTATTTCTGTATTTGTATATTTGTTATTTAAAGTAAAATAAGGAAAAACTTGAGAAAACTATACATTCTACTCCAAACCCTGAAGCAGTTACTATAGACTTGAGCTTTTTGAAATTTCCAGAAGCAGCCATGATGCTTGTTTTTGAACTTTCAGCTTTGTGTTGAGTTTACTACCTTTACTTGTGATTGGCTGATTTGCTATTTGTGTTAAGAGGCAATTGATCAGGTATACCCAATAAACTTTCCTGTGACTGCATATTCAGTCATCTTTCCTTTGGCGTTGATAGATCAAAGCGCGGGAGCTGATCAGCACATTTGAAATTTCACCTCTCGATGTCAAAGCAGCAGAAGAACATGCCTAATAAATTGACATAACTCCTTGGAAAATGTCTGCCTACCTTTCTGTGTTTAATCTCCATCAAACAATCACCGTTACATGAGGATATCTTTACGTAGATGAGGTTCCTGGATGATCTGAACGTGGACTTTCCAAGTTAACAGACACAAGTCAGAGAGTTCATGTCAAAGAGAATAATACAACAGAATTTGGGACTTATAAGGATCTTGCTCTGTCCCTTCTTTTCAACACTTATTATCATTTGGTCTCTTGAACTATTGGTCTCTTTGGTGTTCCTGCCAAGTTGTGGTTGTACACCCTGCTGTGTGCTGCTGTTGGGTCGCCTGACCAGCTGCTTTCAATCTCTCCAGTCTGGATTTAGCAGCTCTAACTCTGTGCTGAAACGTTGGTCTGAAAAAGTTGCATTTGGCCTGCTTTTGAACGCCACTCTGTCTAACTCTGTTAGAGCAGACTTTTACTTGAAGTCAAACTGGTGCATGGGTCTGCATGAAATTAGGAGACCACGGGCACACAAGTGTTATGACAGAAACCATCCGATTCTCGCTAAAGATGTCTTGAGTGTTTTCAAAGTACTTTTGAGAATAGCAGTTCTGGACAGTAGACTGGATCCTGTTAGTCAAGATGGTTTTGATAACAGCAAGTAAACCATGATTGATTGCATCCCTGTCTCAACCATGTCAAATTTTGAAGACAATCCAACTTTTGTTTGTTGTTTTATTGTCCACCGGGAGCATTGATGTTGCAGCCGGCGTTCCTCTCTGCAGCAGGTTCAGGTCCCAAGTCCTTTTTTCCCTCCTTTTGGTTTGCTTCACAGGGTCTTCTGTTTTCCCCATCAGAGCATGCTGGTGTAATTTTCTTTTCCAAAATGTTCTTTCTAAAGTAACAGTTTAAAGCTGATCATTTTCCTGTAAAACAGACTTCCAGTTTGTTTGGTAGGCTGTGCATTTTTTTATTTGTCCTTCTTACTATATCAGTAGATCTTATTAAATGATCACATGAGGCATCTTATCAGTCAGATTATTGGCAAACAGCAGTGATAACTTGGTTTAGTGATTGGTGTTGTTGCAATCATTTTTCTAGTTGAGAAAAGAAAATCAGGTAACGATTTTTCCTGCCTTTTTAGATTTTCAGAGAGCAAAGAACTGAACGACATAAGTGCTGAAGACTTAACATGGACCTTCTAGGAGAGTAAAAAGATCCAATTATGTCTTTAATATTCACGAGGACAAGCTGGAAAAAACATTCCGATTGTTTCTCACAGTGGAAATGTGAGGGGAAAAAAAAAATCTTGGAAAAGGTTGGGAATACACATTCCCATTGCTTCCTCTCCATCTGGCATTGAAGAATGAGAACATGAAATAGCTTTTAGTATCTCCACACTGTGGTGCTGAGACCTACTGTTCTGTTATTGATCTGGGCTTGTATCTTTTAATGGTTTTACCACAAGGACACTGGACACATGACTGAGGCTCTACTGATTTATTCCACATCCATGCGCTTCAAATAGTTTCTGAGTAGGCGAAAGAATGTGGGTCCTTGGAGGAGCTGGAACCGGGGAGCCACTGCGCTGCAGAGGTCACCGATGTCAGCAGCACCTGATGAGATCTGCAGGAGTCAGGGAAATTCAAGAGTATCTAAAGCTGCTTGAACTTTATGTTACATGATGGGAAACTGTTATCACTCCCACCCGTAAAGCAACAGGAGGCCACTTTCATTTTATTGCAGTGCATTTTCATCCACAAGTATGACCTGAAAAGTACATTCAAAAAAATTACAGCACAGTTTTCATGTTTATTTTAAGCATGCAATTAAGACTACAACTGAATCATCCTCTTTTAGCAATGACCTTATTTTTTTCTTGTGGCACAATCTTGGAAGGTACAGCATATTCTCCTGTTAATGTTGATCAGCAACAAAAAGTCATTCAGCTTAGGATTCAATGGATCAGGTGTCGATTTATGATACCCCAACACTCAGGTTTACAAACTTTCTGGAGTTAACTGCAAAATCAAACTCTGAATGGTTTGTTTTCTAGGGCTGTAGGATAATATCGATATCGCGATATATATAGATATTTTCTTTCCTAGAAAAAAATCGATATTCATCCGCAAGTATCGTAACATCCAACTGTCACCTTGCTCACTCACTTAGGTCATCAGGCTTAGAGTGATTCCTTCAGATGTTAAGTGTCAAGGTTAAAAAGGTATCAAACTATTCAGAGCAGGGTGCTTGGTGCACTTTATTTACTTTATAAATCCATGTAAGCTACAGTTTGTACTGTTTCAATTAAAAGAAACATGTTTTCTCACCACTTCTTTGATTCTTTTTGTCCAGCTGTCGACTTTAAGTCTGTGTCCATGTCCAACCAGAGCCAGGTTGGTGTTTTAATCAGTTTTCAGTTCAGTAATTCAATCCAACTCTATAACAGTCACAAAATATCACCAAAATCACTCTGTCCCTCTAAAATCTTTCAGAAAATCGCAAAAGTGTATTGAATCGTATCGTTTGATGAATATCGCAATATATATCGTACCGTGGACAGAATATCGTGTATCATATCGTATCGTAAGATTACTGTATCACTACAGCCCTATTGTTTTCTGTAAAGTATTTCTGGATTCTACACTACTTTCTTTTCTTTTTTTTCTTGTAAATCATTTAGAAACAAATATAATAATCCAAATCAATGAGATGATCAGAGTTTTTTTTTTCAAGTTAGTCTTTTCATTTATTGTACTACTTACTGGTCAACCCTGCTTATACAGTTAAGAAGTTGGATGATTTTAGCACAATGTGAGCAAGCACAGGACATGATCATTTAACCCTGAAGATTGTGTTCAGTCATCAGCTTGTAAAGGGTAGGATGGTCAACAGGAAGATGCAAAGCAGCAGCAAATAATGCTTCCCTGCTGTCAAAAAAGATAAAAAAAAAGAACAGCAAATAACATGTTGCAATTTAATTCAAAGGTCCAGAAAGACAGCTAGTGTGCAATAATCCTTTGAACTTTGATGCATTGCAAAAAGCTATCACCAAACGACTCAGATAAACCTGCTTGCCTTTAGAAACTAAGTGTGGGCGTGGCCTGAAAAACAAACATGGCGACCCATCCTTAGCTTCTGAGGTCTTGTAGAATTCAACACATTTTTATCAGTCATTGTTTTAAATGATTTGTTGTGGTAAATATTCCATACTATTGTACAATCAATATATACCACAATATGTTATTAATATAGATATAACATTTTGCAACATGCATGCCTTCAATTTATGAATATGCTGATACAGTTTAGTCTTAATCACAGTCATTTCCAAATTTCTATTTCCATTTGCAATATAAGACACACTTCCTAATTTTAATTAATGCAAACTTTTTCATATTCGGTGATATTTTTAGAATTATTGCAAAGATGTTTGACTCAACACGTGAATTCAAAGACGGTATGTCTAGGCAAAAAGCAGGATGTATTCTAACAGGTTTGCCCTGTTCATATAATATATTTTCATATAATATCAACAGAAGTTTGCTGAAAGCTTTCAGTCTCCATAGGTAGCAAAACATCTTGTTTAACTTACAGCTGGCCTCTTTCTTCTTTTATTTATCCCAGTCGATAGACTTTAATAATTTATAAAGGACTAATCTGACTCCTAGAATAGGCAAATCAGATCAAGCTGCATGGGAAGTACATGTAGAATGTGCACGGTACGTGAACCTGGCTTTTTAATCCTGTCCTTTCAGACATTAATGAATGCGAAGTGGATGAAGGCGGCTGTGAGGGTTACTGCTGCAACACCATTGGGAGCTACTACTGCAAATGTCCTGAAGGCAGCAAAGTGGGGCCAGACGGCAAGGCTTGTAACGGTAAGATGGACTGCTTGGGATTTGAATGCAACAAAACCCAAAGATAGAATGTGTTAAACGCTCTCTGCCGTTCTTTACGAATATTATTTACTCTTTCTTTAACATACCCTGTGTGGATATTTTACAGAAGTTTCTTACTACTGAATTTGTTTTACAAATCTATTTTCAGTCTCTTAAGAAGTCCTTAGTGTTATATTTGTCTCTTTTTTTTGCGCACATAGTCTGAGTTTTGCCAGCATATTTTGTGGCTCGCAGCATTTAGATTTCAGATTGTTTCCTATGTGGCACCTTTACGCAGTCTGCATTAACCTCCAATCCACTGCTTAGTCCACTTGTACATGCCGTCTCAGCATCTCAGCTTTGACCCTGATGGTGTCACACGACACCATTCAGAACTCATGACCTCTGACCCCCGACACCACCACCGCTGCTCTTGGCCCTGCTCCCCCAGGCACCACCTCACTTAACAGTGAAAAGCTGCCATTGTATCCTTCCCACTGAAATCCTCTCACGTCTGTAGTTTTATGCTTTCAGCATTGCCTACAAGAGCCGAACACGCATTCTTCAGCTATTCTAACATTATTTCTAAATAAACTACAAAGCCACTGCAAATTTCTTTTAGTGCGAGTATTTGAAGTGTGGGTTCCTGGACGTTGTTTCTTCAGGATGTGAGCTTCCAGGAGCTTTTAATCTACATCGACTGTTTTACGCAAGTTTCCATGGTGATGCTTGAAACCCACCCCGTTTATGTAAATTACATTCCTTGACTCTGATAATGAAAACAGTCAGTTTAGGTAGAAGGCAACGATAAACCTACCAATACGTTGCCTTCTGCCTAAACTGACAGAGCATGTTAATCAGAGAAGCAGTCAAGAATCCCACAGTAACTCATGAGGAGCTGCAGAGATTCACTGCTCACTAACTATAATTATTAATCGTGCTCTCTACTAGGAGATGTAAAAGTGGCCAAATGCGAGTCAGAGGAAAATAGAAAAATAAGTGGAGCTTAAAAACAGGGTAAAAATTGGACTGGGTTGCAACTCTATAGAGCTTTAACTCCTGGCAGGTCAGCAACTAAAAATCTAAAAGCCTCGTTTACACTGCAGGATTTAGATCAAGACTTTAAAATTAGTGATTGCCATCCAATCTGTCTAAGCTTGAGCTAATTTGTGAACAAATTCAAGGAGTACTAATGCTTATTCAAAGCATCAGAGGTTTCCAGAGAGCTGATAAGAACTTTGCTCTCTATGCACTCAAGTACACTATCATCCACAAAGTTGCATAGTAGGAAATGACAGCCATGACGATGCTTTTGAGGATGTGTTGTCCAGATATGATGTGAAATTTGATGGTTCTTCACTATAACATTCAGGTATTTTGTCTTGACAACTTGTTTCTGTCTCCATGGATCAGAGGCACAAGTCTAACACACATGCAGCCGTTTGTGGCCATCCCAGGAGAACGCATTCAGGAACAAGGGATTTCACACATACTGCGCACACAACATGTTAAGCAATCTAATGTTGACCCAAAGAAACTTAGTCAGACCAAATAAATCTTACTTATAGAATAAAATGAGTGTTTTCAAAAAAGAGAGTGTTTTGATGATCAAGATTAAAAATGAATCAAACTTGATTGAAGCTCAGAGGATAATAATTAAATTTACTGAGGGTTCATTTTGTTGTTGTTGTCATTTTATAAAACATCTGTCAGAGTTTTTGCATGGACAAGATGTTTGAACCAAATATCTAATAAGAAAATAAACTAGGTCTCATAAAATAGAGAATCCCTGTCTCCTGTCTGAATTGTATATTTTATGTTTTTGATCATTTAACTCATTGATTTCATGTGTTTAAGTCGGAACTTTGCTCTATAGTGGTATTTAGTTTTTGTGCTGTTTTACATGAAAATAGACATGCTTCATGAATGCTTTGATTTTTCTATGAAGGCTTGTTAAAAGTATGTCTACAACCCAATGTGTTTTTGATATATATATATTTTTTCCAGATATAAATGAGTGTGAAGAGCTCAATGGAGGATGCCAACAAACTTGCGTCAACACGGCAGGTTCCTATCATTGCGAGTGCAGCGAGGGATTCCGTATGCACTCTGATGGTCGCACCTGCATCGGTAAGAAAACGACACTGCAAAAAGGAGTTTTGCGAAAATCACCAGCCTGATTGTTTTAAAGGAATATTTTTGGAAGTGCGATTATTGTTATTAACCTCCAATGTTTGCTGCTGTCCAAAAAGTGTGAAACAGACAAATTCTGAACTGGTTTGAAATCAAAATAGCTGTCACGTAATTCAAATCTATGCGTTAGAAAAATGAGTATCAGGAACCATTCAAGACAAAATCAGATCAGAGACAGATACTCGCAAATGTTCATTCAAAGGATTTTTACTTGATCAAGATGGGGATAGGATGAGTTAAGAAACTCAGTAAGATCACCTCATTCTCTGACGACAGAAACTGCCTCACATTTACAGCCTGTGTCTTTGGATAAGCTTGCTCTGTAAAATCATCTGATGCAATAGCTCTTTGCTATACAACATGGGAAACAATTTTCTGCAACTTTGAAGAGTCATAACAAAGTCGCAGCTAGCAAAAGTCATAAAAAGGTTACAATGAGGTTTCTGCAGACAAATGTTGCTAGACTGTCTGAAAACGTCAAGGTTAGATGACCATAAAATAAACAATAAATGTAACCTAATTAACCTAATAAATAACCTAATTGTATCTGCTAAAGTAATCAGTCTTAGAATGGTTTTTTACTTACAGTTTTACCACCGGTCTTTGTCATCTTGCTTACGGTGAGAACACCCAACAGGCATATGACTAGTATTCCTGTTTGGCATGTCATACAGAAATGGAAATTACCTTAGAGTAACCACTGTTGGAGCACTGAATATAATTTTCAAGTTTTAAGCATTTTTCCTTGTGTTTTCCACAAATATATAGCTACTGAGTTTGAGGTCTGAAGGCTGATTCAGGAAGCTCATAATTTTGGTCTCGCCTGTCTTCCTTCATTAGAGAAGTTTTTACTACATTTTCATTTCCACTTGGATAACAGAACCAATGAACGTTTTGCCGTTTTTTTTTTTACCCGTCATGATTCTGTCTCTGTTTTGCTAGCCGTAAATTCTTGCTCCATTTTGAATGGAGGTTGTGAGCACAAGTGTGTGGATGTGGGAGACGAGGAGTACAAATGTGAGTGCAGAAGGAACTACCAGCTGAAACGAGATGGGAGACACTGTGAATGTAAGTGATCTTGTCGGAAGATATTTCATTGTTGCAAGCAGACAGTTTGTTTTGCTGCTTTGCAAAAGAACACGTACTCCTTGAATCTTTCATGTTTGTTCATAGTAAAACCATAACTTTAAATCTGCTCTCTTGGGATTTTTCCCAGTTTATGAACTGTGAGGTTGTGTATGTCAGTATTATAGACTGTGTGTAAGCTTTGTTTGTTTGTTTGTGTTCGTCAGTGAGGGACCCCTGTAAGGAGAGGAATGGAGGCTGTGCACAGTTCTGCAACTCCGAAAGCGGTAAAGCAAATTGCAGCTGCCGTCCCGGTTTTACGTTGTCTGGAGACCAAAAAAACTGTGAAGGTAAGGGAGATCTGTTTACACACCTTCACTCAAACACATAAATGCATGTTACATTTCATACTTAAAATGCTACAAATAAGAAAAAAAAAAAACTGAACCAGCTGTTCTACAATGCCCTATGGCTCATGTAACTAATAACAGGAATGAAGACCTCCACTTCTAATGTCATCCGGCTCTATCCATCACAGATAGAACACAAAAAGGCCTCCAGATGTAAACACTCAACAGCAACCAGTTTTAAAACATTCTTCTGGATTTGATAATGACAAAGCATCCTGTTTTTATTTGGATAGCCCGGTTTGGATTGCAGTTTCAGACTTTAATCAAACTGTATTCACAAACAAACAGTTTTGTACCCATGCGGCCAATCATTGTGCGTCACTTTATTTCTAGGCCGTTAAAAAAACAGGACATTTGAAAATAATACATGTTAAATCTGACATGTAATTTTATTTAATTTATATCAAACCCCATTTTCATGGACTGAGACTCAGATTCGGGTTAGTTGCCTTATGCAGATATAAGATAATCCGACCCCCTGATGCAATAATTCGGTGCGACCTGTTGTTGGTAGATCAAACTTATTGGAGAGAAATGACCAAATATCTTTGCAGAGTATGAGTTCATTATAGGAAATGACTTTAAACCACGGGCTGGTCAAAGTGGTTATGAAACGTCCACCCTGCAGCTATGAATCGATGCGTGGTTGGTACAGAGCGTGATGAGGCAAAGAATTCCTTTTCATACCCAGAATAGTCAGGTATTGCTCCAAATATTCAGCAAATCTACTCCCTCTGTCACTTCATATGAGCTATCTGTTGATTATTTTGTCTCATTTTATACTTTTGCTTTCATTGCTCCTGCTAGTGCTGGTTAGAATCATGGACTGAATCTAATTCCAGTAGATTGTTGGTGAAGATGAACACAAATATCAGATTCTTGACTGTCAGCATGTGTTTGTATTGCCTTGTCTCAAAATCGTCACGCGGCATTCTTCGGTGAATTGTGTGAAGCAAATTGCATTTTGAAAGAATAAGCCTACAAGTGTCGACTTCTGTGACGGTTTTCCACTTGGTATGTCTGAGATTAAACACACATACCTTCACATCCTTATCTACCACCTGTTGTCTGTCTCCTGTAGACATTGATGAGTGCATCTCTGGTCATGCAAAGTGTTCCCATGGTTGTGTCAACATGCCGGGCTCCTTCAGATGTGTGTGTCATCCTGGTTTTGAACTCGGTGCCGAAAGCAAGCAGTGCTACCGTAAGTCAAAACACTGGCGCTTTAGTATTCCCTGAGAAAATTTCAAAAAGCTTAGAGCTTTGTGTTTGTCTCTTTTGTATTTGCTCACAGTAGAAACAGAGAAACGAATCACAGTAAATGTCTTGTGTTATGGAGAGTGCCATCGAGCTAAAATGTGAACTGTTTGAGGTGAAACGTGTTTAGAATGCCTTACAAAAAGTATTAATGCTTTTGGACATTTACCATATCTTACCACAGTAGAGCTATGAATTCCAGTGTATTTATTTGGGAGTTCATGTGATGGATCATCAATAAATTGTCACGTAGTATTGAAGTGGAAAGAACATGAGAAATGGTTTTCAAATTGTTCCACAAATCAAAATCTGAAAAGGGCAAATACACGTGCAGGTTAGTAGAGCTGAAGAGATCATAAATAGCAATACTGTAAGACAACCTGCTAGTGGCAGCAAAAGACTTGAGAGTGAGGCAGAGCATCACTTTCCAGCAAGACAATGATCCTAAACATGCAGCCAGACCTTTTAGTGGAGTAGTTTTAAGCAAAGCGTAACTATTTGTTGAAATAATCCAGTCAAGATAGAGACTTGAATCCAATTAAGAATTGGTGGCACAAAATGCTTACTGAGACTGAGCAAATTTGAAAGATGAAATGCAAATATTATGCACAATTAACTTTTTGGATGTTATTGTACTTCAATTTGTGTCTCTACTGCTTCTAGAAACAGTTCAGGTGCTTGGAAAAAACATTGAGCTGTTTTCTGGGAATAAGTTAATGTTTGTTTGTTTTTTTCTTTTGGTATCTGGAAAACAAATTGCTGCCAAAATCTCCCCAATCATTAAGTCACAATAAGACCCAAGCAGAGCTCCAAAAGCAAGTTTGGTCATTTGTTACACATTTTAATTATGGTCGTTTCATGCCTCGGCGTTGATGCGCCTACCTCCAGGCATTGAGATGGAGATTGTAAATAGCTGTGAGAAGAACAATGGGGGATGCTCTCATCATTGTGAGCATAACACCAATGGCCCCCTATGCTCCTGTAACCAAGGCTACCAGCTGGACACGGACAGGAGGACCTGTGTAGGTAAGATCTTTGCTATTCTCTGAAGTTTTCCAATCCCAGTTTTTAGTTTACTGTCTCTCTAATCAACATTTAAAACATGTTCTTCCTTTAGATAGTGACGAGTGTTTGAGTGTGGAGTCCTGCTGCAGCCACCTCTGTAGAAACTACCCCGGTGGCTATGAGTGCAGCTGCAGAGCAGGCCACAGACTGAGCCCAGATGGCTGCGGCTGCGAAGGTGAGAGTGCAGCAAGATTGTTAGCAGATTAGCCTGTCTGGTGTTTTTTTGTTATTGTCTTTTTTTTATTTTATAGAACAGCTGGGTTGTAATTCCAATGCATGCTTATTAACTCATTGTGGAAAACAGAGCATATTGCTCATGCAGTAGCCAAAGTTTACTTAAATGTGCTCCAGATGCATGCTATTGAATTTATGCATAGCAGATTAGCTTCAACTTCAATAATATGCCAGTGCCATGGCAGGGCCTGTGGATTTTAATTCTCTTGTCTTCTTCTAGATATTGATGAGTGCCTGGCAGAGACCTCGGGATGTGAACACTACTGCGTCAACACCTTGGGAACCTATCAGTGCTTTTGCCGAATGGGCTTCCGCTTGGATCTGGATCGGCACGCTTGCATCGGTGAGAAACAACAGCGTCGTAACCATCAGCGAGCAAAAAATGTGACGAATCAAATCAGGTAAATGGAAGTTTTGCTCTTGAGCTTCGCTTTGCCATGCGTGTGTTCAGCTCTGTATGGCGGTGAGCTGCATGAGGAAGAGGAGGAGGAGGAAGAGGAGGAAGGGCTGGAGGCCGACAGACTGCCTGACCTGCTGTTTCGAAAGGCTCCTCAGCTCGTGCATTACACGGCAGCCCTGCACGTTCGCCACAGCACTGATGATGATGATGATGATGATGATGATGGTCGTCATGTTAGTGACCGTGACGAAGAATTAGAGATCCACAGAGAGCACAGGGGAGAGCTGAGACTGGAAAGCTCCGTAGGTACAGGAAGAAATGTGAATGATGAGACTTCTGGGGACGTCTGATCAAATCAATACTATTTTATTGCCCCCTCTGTAAATCTACGGACAAGAAAAGTAATTTGGAGTTCACCATTTCCTTTTCAGTGTGCCTAGAGGGCTCCTTTGGGGATGACTGTAGCGTGAGCTGTGACGACTGCGTGAGCGGAGCATGTAGTGAAAACAAGGACCGATGTGATTGCTCGCCTGGCTGGACAGGAATCATCTGCAACGAGAGTGAGGATGGTTTCATTTCTTTTCTTTTCGGTGTAAACTCCCTGTGCTGCGTCTGGATAGCATCAGAGTTCTGTTTGTTCCATTAGGGAAAAAAGTTGGTTCTAGTGCCAAAATTCATCATTCACAACTGCTTCTTCTGTCTGCTGACTGGCCTGGGTGAAATTCACCCAGAGAAATCAAGTTTAATTGGAGTCGAGCGGGATCGTGTAGGAAGGCAACGGTCAGGCTCGTTCTCAGAAAACATCTAATAAACTCCTGAGATCAATTCTAGCAGTCACAAAAACTTTCACTTGTACACCAAGTAAGATCCGTGTGCATTAAGCATGTAAACGTTTAGACATATTTTCAGCAAAACAATGGTGTCTGGGCAGGTGTAACCAAGGCCAGAAATATTAAAACCCCTAGCTGGTTTAAATTTCATATCATTTTCTTTCATTTCCAATCTGACGTTTGTTTCACATTCGAAATGGGGCACACAATTGTGAAGTAACATTGGTTTTAAAAAAGTGTCTAAACATTTATGGTATCAGTATTTTAATAAGAAATGAGAAGTTTGAAATGATTTATGCAGTTGTACAAGAATAAAACCCTTCTTATAAGTGCTGAGGAGCTTTTTGAATGTTTCCTCTGGCGTTTTGACAATTCATCTTTATTGATGTGGTTGAAATGTCTAATAAGAGGTTCATGTTTGGAAGGTGGGCCTCTCCAAACCTTGACATTATTTCCAATCAGGAGAAACATTTGGATAAATTAAAATATTAATTTAAACTCTAAATCTGCCAAGAGTACAAATAATGTTATGCTAAGTGTTTGTTATGTGACTGAGAGAAAGAAAAGCAGGTTTGCAACAAAGTTTGACCTGAAATGCCCTTCTTAATCACTAGTTGTCATAATATAGTTTCCAAAATAAATTCATTATATCTAATTAAATGAATTTAAATTAGAGCTTTTAACATTATAAAAGCACTTGCAACATTTTACACTCAAGCCATGCTGGATAAATAAATAAAAAATATTGCAAAAACAATAAACATCTTAATAAACTATGCTTAAACTGAATACACACAGATTTTTCTCAAGAAAATATTTTACCAAGCATGCAAAACTGTTCTACAACCCTAATCAGCTACACTGGCAAGACTAAAGCACATACACTCAGCCTGGTTTTTACAAGCAATATTTCATCATCCAGGTCTGTGGAACGACCTGAAGCATTATTTTTGTTTGTTAGTAAGAGACAAGACAGCTCACAGCATTCATCGATCCAGAGCCATGGATCAACCCCCTGTCGTTTCTTTAGAGTGGGAGTCTGGGGTTATTTATGTGCTCCAAAACACAAGGGGACCAGTGAATAAATCTATCCGATGCTGGAGTGTGGCCAGGAGCCACAGCAAGACTACAGCCTGAGGTCAAGGATGTCCATTACTGGGTAAAGAAAGAGATTCCTTTGTTCCGATTCAGGGCGGTGATTAATAGCTGTCTTTGGTCCGAGGCAGAAGGAAATGAGGGATAAGTACATTTAGAAGCAATCTGTCACTTCTTGAAAGTGGCTTCTGGTGTTTAGATGCAGACTCAACTATGTTGTATTAAATACTGTATGATCACATTCGTGAACCAGTTGCAATTCTAAATGTCACACGTTTCCTTTCCGGCCTCCTCACCTCGTATTTCTTTATAATTCAGTACAGGGAATCTCTGCTTGTCTGTCATCACAAGGCATGACGTTTGTGCTTCTTCAGTTTGTCTTAAGCGATCTTCCTTATGGAGACATAAAAGAGCCGCGAGGAAAGTGTGAGGTGGGGTTAAAGCGGGCACAGTAAGAATGTTGCTCTTTTAACACATCCTGCTCGTTTGTGCCAGAGTTGGTTATGACGCCTGTGAGCATAAGAACCTCAGATGAGCACAGGATCAGTCGCTGACCGCTTCCTAACATTAAGCATGTTCTAGTTCTTGTTTTATGTTTTCGTGGCAAAGAAGTCTCCTTTTAATCCATTGTTTAGTTTTGCATCTAAAAATAACAAGGATGATCCTTTGCATTGTTTGCCTCCAGCTTGTCATCAGGGGAGCTACGGGAAGTCCTGTGACGGCATGTGCCACTGTCTGAATGGAGGCTCATGTGACCCTGTGTCTGGGAAGTGTCTCTGCCCTCTCGGGGTAAATGGCCAGTTCTGCGAGGACGGTTTGTATTCTCATATTTTGGAACCACAAAATGCTGCCTCCAGGATTATGTGTTTTTTGATGTTTTTTTTTTGTTGTTGTTTTGTTCTGAAGGTTTTGCTGGGATATATTACTGAAAAGCAAATGACATGGCCCATATTATAACTAAGGGGCCATGCAATCAAAAAGGACGAGGCTATAAACATTTAGTAAAATCTTTGCGCCATACACAAAAGGGACAAAAAGATTTCAGAATTTTCTGAAACCAGAATTTTTTTGGAAAGTACATAAACAAACTGGGGCGGACAGGCGTCTGCATACTCTGTCCCAGCTTTTTGAAACTTAACCAAAATCCTTTCCAAATAAACTAACACATGAAAGGTTGACACATAACATGAAGTCCACTTGGGAGTCATCTCTAAATCTAAATCTAACAAGTTCTCTGGCACTGTTCTCACTCAGGTTGCCCGAGGGGCTATTTTGGAAAGAACTGCAGACGAAAGTGCAACTGCCCCAACAAAGGACCCTGCCATCGACTTTATGGAGCCTGCCTCTGCTCGCTGGGATTATATGGTCGTTTCTGCCACCTAGGTTGGTTAGAAAGCGTATTACAATGACAAAATATAATAATACAAATGTTTTTAATAAATGTACCACACTTTATGTTAGAGAGAACAAAATCTGATAACTGCTCGAATAGACAGTGATAAGTTTGTGAATATATAAAACACTGTACACTTTTATGGGCCTCGCAGTCAGTGACATCAGGTTTGCTTAAAATATTTTGTACAAATTATACATGTGATGTCTCCTCAGTCTTTTTGATTCTGACAAGTAGATTATGCTGGTGCATCGCTTGATGTGCTAAGCCGCTTGGAGGGAGGAACCAGGTGGGAAGGAAGCTCTCTGGGCAGCCAGTGTCCGTCCAGCTTCCCCTCAATCAGGTGGACTGCCAGCGCAAATTCCTCGTTGTCCAGCATCCCGTCCCTGTCTACATCTGCCAGTCTCCAGATGTGAGCAAGTACCGAATTGGGCAAATGAGTGGTCGTCATCCACTCTTTGACTTTGGTGCCACTGAGTTTGCCATTGTGTGGACTTAGGTTGTAGAAGATCTCATCATATTTAGGTTTGTATTTCTCCACAGCCCATTCGTCGGAATCCGCTTCGCTGACCTCATCATCTTTGAGCATTTCCTTAAACGGGTCTCCCTTGAACTGATCGCGCCGGAACGTTCCCAAAAATTCACCATCCAACACGGCAGGTAGCGATTTCTTCCTCTGCTCTTGCTGCTGGAATAAAGGAACCAGACTGGCTATGTCAGTGGTTAGCAGTTTGTTCAAGGAGTTCATCAGGCTTGGCTTCAGAGTCTTGAACTTCGAAAAATCTTGACCCAAAAGCTTCTCCTGAAAATGGATGCAAACTTGTGAGAACTCACTGAAGGCAATAGGATAGAAAAATCATGTGAAACTTTTCATTCATGCAAACATCAGAGAGAATCGTTTGACCTGCATCTTGGTGCAGTCAGGAAAGTCACCAGCTGGGACTCGATGCTGTTGCTGAATCTTGGTGAAGATAACAGGAAGCTCATAGATCAGGTTGTGCTTCTTGCTTTCCCTGCAAAAGATTGTTGGCATCTCCTGCTTTAGATGGCTGACAATGTGTGCATGAGCCTAAGAAAGGAGCAAATGAGAAGGTTATGTGCACTCCTTGTTGGCATAAATGTTACATTAACTTCAAAGCCACTGTTTTGGTCATCATGAACTGAAAACAAACTTCTTCAGTCTTTGTTAAGCATATAGAAAATGGTGGACAAGGTTTTATTTACAGTGGATTTCTTGTCATCTAAATAGACAAAAAAAGTTTAATTTACAGTGACAAATATGTGTATGTTCACCTCCACTTGTATCAGGATAAATGTAATCATAATGGCATGAAAACTTCTGGTCACCGTAACACCAGGTGAGTTTATAAATATTAACCTTGAGTGAGTATTTTTACCCTGACTAAACGTGCTCTCTTCACCAGGTCGTTCAGCTTTCTCACTGCGGCGTTGCGTGGTAGGTTCCTTATGTCCGTTAGCAGATCCTCTTCCTCCAGCTCTATCAGGTTGTAGTGGTCGCACCTCTGCCTCGGCTCTGACCAGAACGACCCGATGTAAATCCGTAAGATTTCCGGGGTTCGGAACACTTTCCCCAGCGACCACATGAGGGCGCCATACACTCTCATGAGCTGTTGCGAGTCCACCCTGTCAGCTTTGTTGAGAACCACGCGCAGCTTGTCCTCGTAGCCGTACAGAGCTCCAAAGGCCCTGGTGAGCTCATCGGAGAACTCCAGTTTGTGTGCGTCGAATAGCAGGATGATTCGATCCACACGCTCTGCAAACCAGCGCAGTACTGCTTGGAAGTCATAGCCTTAGGATAAGGAAGAGAAACACAAGGTTTTCATTAGCGTAGCTAATGGGGAAAGCCACGCAGCCTTACAGCGTGGAGGAGCATGCAGCAGGTCCCAGTGGCCCCCACTGGTTTCTAGCCATTACTGTTACACCCACAGAAAAATGTGTCTATAAAACAAAGCAACGGCTGCTCAGTTACTCCCTGCTTGTCTCCTCACTAACGTCTTTCATCTGCGTCGCCTCCGACATCAGCTGAGTGATTTATGATGGGCCGGTCTTTTCTACTTCATTGCCTCTTCTATGACCGTACTCCTAAAGGAATCTTAAAGCCACAGTGGAGTCCATCCACCCTGTACTGTGCGTGTGAGAATTTCTGGGGGAACAGTGATTTGTTCCACCAATGCCGAAAACAGTCTGTCTCACCTCGGCTAAGTTTTCGCTTAGCAGCAGTCAAGATCCCAGGCGTGTCAATTATGCTGATCCTCTCTAGGACTGGATTTGGCATCTGCACACACTGGAATCTGGAAAGAGAAAAAAAAAAATCCATTTGAATTTGGTGTTACATCTCAGTTCACTGGTCTCCCAACAAGCACTGGAGTGTCACACCAGCGCTCCTGTAACTCTGCATGGGAACATGGGTACATAGGTTGGATTGATGTTAGGTTAGGATATCACTGATGATAAATAATTGGTGATAAATCATTATTGAGAACTTCCAAAATATCTAGACATATAGAGATGTCTTGTTCTTAACCTTCTTCTGTCTTAGGCTTTGTCTTTCTTACCTGTTCAGGAAAGAATTTCCGAAAGGATCAAGGTTGCGAAAGGGTTTCTTGGGATCCACCGTGATGGCGTTCCCAGGGGTGACTCGCTCCTCTTCTCCGTACATGAGTGCAGTGAAGCAGTCAGTGGTCGGCTCTGGCCCAACTCTGCTGCCAGGGAACTCTTCCTCGAGCAAATACCTGCAAATTCAGCAGACATAACCTGCTACCAACGTCTGCCTTGGACAGAACACCCGCAGCCTGCTTAAGACTTTTGACCTGTTTTACTTGTACTTTTAGTTTTGAGGCTTACCTGATGAAAGTCGTCTTTCCCGTCGAGTACTGACCCATTACCAGAACCATTGGCTTGTTGTCAAAGTCCGCATCCTCGTAACTTGGGGAATGAAAGTGATGAAAGGAGTAGTGCTTCTCAATAGGCAGCAGCCTCTTGTAGTAAAGATTCTTCAGCTCTTCTGTCACAACGTTAACGTCTCCCAGTGTTTTCGGGCTGCTCCAGAACCTCCGGATAGACATGTTGATAAAGTTTCCCCTGTTCACTTCGCGAGGCGGACGTTCTTCAGAGTTTAAAGACCAAACTGGAGAAGCGAGCGCACACAAGGAGTATTATCAGAATCCTCCAGCTGTCTGCTCCATCCTGCAAGTGGGGACGCTGGGAGGGTGGAGAGGGTGTAACCGGAGGCTGCAGCTGCAGCTGCACCTAACTTGAAGCCAGTGGTGGAGAGGGACTGGGTGGAGTGCAGCTCAGTGTTTGTTGTTAAGTAGGGACTATCTTGGCAGGATTCAGCTGTAGTGATTAGGGGCATAGCAGTTCATCTGTACTCATAGTCATATACTTGGTAGTATGTTGCTGTATGTGTGAAGAACCCTGAGTTTAAGCAAGAACATTTTGTCAATGGCATCATTACAGTAAGTAGTTTATGACTTAAAACGCTGCAGAAAACACTGAAATAGACACTCAAGCATAAGTGGTAACTGGGAGTTTGCACAAAGTTCAGTTAATGGTGTTAAAATTGGCTTGACTAAGACAAACAGAAATCTAATGTTATGATAACATGGCCATGTTTGTTCTGCTCATTCAAAGTGAAAGTTGATCATTCAGGTTCCCTTTCTGCATATTTCCTTTCAACTTAAGCAAACAGAAGCGGCCAACATATTTAGTTTTTGTTACAGAACATAAATACAGTGAGCTGCATGTTTTCTTTATTCGAGCACCGATTTGAGGACATTCTTTATTGCGCCTCCTCTGAATTCATGCTTTTTGGTTCATGTCTTCTTTTCAACAACCCCGTCCGTCCCTCAGCTTGTCCCAAGTGGACACACGGAGCAGGCTGTTCCAAGGAATGCAAATGTGTCCAAGAGCAATCCAGCGGCTGTGACCCAAAAACAGGAAGCTGTTTCTGCAAGCCTGCATATCACGGTCTGCTTTGTGAGAAAGGTACAGCTGCTTTACTCACTGCCACCTAAAATTTATGCACCTTCCAAACAGTTTTAGTTTGAATTAGTCAGATGTTGCTTTAGAGGTCATATTAATGAGCTGATCATTTCACAGTTAAAAATATTGTGATAAACTATTTAATCTGTTTCTGACGCAAGTCACTCGGGGAAAATACATTTTCAGTGATGCGGTTTACTTTGAAATGCATCTTTTCCAATAGTGTCCCATAAAAGAGTTAAAAAAAATAAATCAGGGTGAAAGCCGAGCTGAGTTGAGTAACATGATTGTCTTCTGCATTTTGCTTAGTAAAACATTGTATTTGCAATCGCGCAAACCTCCCTTTTTGTCCGTCTCCCAATGCAGAATGTGATCCAGGCTTCTTTGGCACCGGCTGTGAGCAGTCATGTGATTGTCCAGGTGGAGGGTCATGTGACCCTAAGACCGGAGTCTGCAGCCAAAGATGTCCTGCTGGGCTTCAGGGGGACCAGTGTCAACTGGGTGAGACAAAACATTGTTTTCATATGTAATAAAGGACGATCTTACATATAAAGAAGTGTAGAAATCTGACATTAAATTGCTTTGATTTAACCTATTTTATCATACAGGCCTTGCATGCAGACAGATATTGCCATGTGAAGGTATTGTTTGCATCCAGAACCTTGAAAAAGTTTTGACATATTCTGTTTTTTTTTTTTTTTGTTTTTTTTTTTTTTTTTCATTTTTCTACATTACAACCACAAACGTCCTTGTGTTTTATTTAAATTTAAAATGATAGACCAGCACAGATGAAATGCTAATTGAATAAATGCAAATAAAGATCTGAAAAGTGTGCTTTTGTGTTCACTTTTACTTTGATATATTTTCATAAAATTTAGTGCAACTAGTTAGTTTCAGAAATCACCCAGCAAGTAAAAAGAGTCCATCTGCGTCTGATTTGTTGTCAGTATAAAACCAGATGTTCTGTGAAGGCCTCAGAGGTTTGCTAGAGAACATTAGTGAACAAACATGATGAAGACCAAGGAACACAATAGGCCAAGAAAAAAAAAAAAAAAAAAATGGTGACTGACAAAATACTTGTGAAAAATGGAGTACGATACGGGACCATAGCGGTAAACACACTGTCACAAGTACAATGGAGTTCTTTATATTAAAGCATATGCAGATGCTTTAATATAAACCATATAAATATGCTTTATATTATGGCATAGTCCAGACCTAAAGATCAACATAATCTGTGACGAAACTTTGAAACTGAGCTTCACAGACGATCACCCACCTTGTCTCATCAAACTTGAGCCATTTTGCAAAGAATAAGAAGAATCGGTAGACATTTGAATGTATGCAGAAAGCACTTAAGGACGCAGCCGCAAATAACATCAACTACAAATAAAAGGCGTTTTCACAAGGTATCGACTGAGATGGCCTGGACTTTAAGGCACGCTACACTTTTCAGATTTAAAGAAAAAAAACATTTTGGAAACCACAAATCCTTTTCTTTCCGCTTCACAATTCTGCCCTTCTTTATGTTGTGTTATTATGTGAATTGTGAAATCCCTGTAAATTATGTTGAGGCTTCTTAAAATGTGCCAAAATAAGACAGCTTTTATAAAAATAAATACTTTGAAGAGATATTAAGCCTCATGTATTTGCACACACAATCACAAATTGACATAAATTCTTATCAATGATTTTCTGAATTTTTCCTGATTATTTTTTATTAATTCTGATACTGTTGATTAATAACTAAATTGATCAATACTTGGAATTAAAAAAAGCCTAAATTTACTTAGTGAAAGTATTCTTCTTGGAATGAATTTGACTGCTGTGCTCCTGAAACTAAATGCTTAGTGGTGAATATTTTTCAGGAGTGACAATCTTGTGAAGTGGACTAAAAGAAAAACCAAAACTAATTGTAAAGTATGTCCATATTGTGGCTCAGGTAGAGCCAGGCCCGCTTGAGTTCTTCAAAGGCACATTAAAAGTAAATCATTTTTTTTGAATTTCCAACACTTAGGTTCCAGGCGAGGTCATGAAAGGAAAGATTTACTTCAGTTTCAACTCCAGAAGCTATTGGCAGAGGCCAAACAAATAAACATCCTCTGAAATGTTTTCTCGAGTGTCTTTCTTTCTCAACACACACACACAAAAACGCCCTGTCCAGTGTTTTCTCTAAAGCTGCTCCTCGAATGTTGAGTTATTTACCCGTCCTTTTAATTTCTTTGTGTTCAACTGTTGTTAGCCTGCCAAACAGGAAACTATGGTGAAAACTGCCGTCTGACCTGTGACTGCGGAGGAGCTCCCTGTGATCCTGTAACTGGAGAGTGCGACTGTCCTGCTGGGAAGAGAGGAAGTTCTTGCCAGGAAGGTGTTTATTTTGTTACACTGTCTCTAACTAATAGTTTACAGAGACAATTTTGAACTCGGCGGCTTATGGAGCTCTGCGTTGCTTCGTCTTGTCAAACAGCACTTTAGTTTTATTCTTCTTTTAGATTAAAGACGTTAAAAACTGGGAGATATTTCTAACTCTTTGATTTGTATCTTATTCTTCATTGACCTTATTATTATTATTATTATTATTATTGTTATTATTATTATTATTATTATTATTATTATTTTAAACAATCAACAATAAAAACTTAAATAAGACATATGACTAATACTGACTTCCACTATCACTATTAGTGATACTGAGAGGGTGAAACCTCTCAGACATTTATTACTCCTTGATTTGTCATGTGTCACATCATAAAAAAGAAGATAAATAAACAATACCCTTATACCTTGGAAATATATTCATCCGTTTTCTGATGATCCACTTGTCATACACAGCATGTCCTGCAGGCCACTTTGGACCTGGCTGTCTCGCGCGTTGTTCTTGCCACCCTGACGCCAGCTGTGACTCAAAGAATGGACTTTGCATCTGCCCTCCTGGCAAAACTGGCCACGATTGTGAGACAAGTAAGAATAAACAAACCCCCCACCCCTCTAAAAAAAAACAGCAAATCCGGCAGAATAGTACAGAAAGAAAAGGAAAGAAAAACAAATTGAATTCACCAGTATGTTTTGCCTAACTTTGTTCAGCATGTGAACCTGGTTTTTGGGGCCAAGGCTGCATTGGAAGGTGTCAGTGTCAGGATCATTCTGTGGGCTGTGACCCGGTCAGTGGTCGTTGTGTGTGTGAAGCTGGCCACACCGGAGACCACTGTGAAGAGAGTAAGTTTGGAGTTCGGGGGATGATGTCTGAGTTTCAATGTCAAAACATTTAGTGAATGCTGCCACCATGGGGTTAACTGTTGTTACTGCATCTTTAACCTAACTTTAGTGAGTTGCCTGTTGCACTGTTTGTGGTTTTAGAGATTTATTGCATAGCAAACATAGCATGACACAAATTGCACGGAAAATGTAAATGTGTTACATTTTGTGTTGATTTCATGCTTGAGATTTAAAATTTTGTTTTCTATCATGTTCCTAAATATACTCATGTTCCCGTCTTTCTGCTCCACAGAGTGCGCCAGTGGTCATTATGGACACGGCTGTGCTCAGGAGTGTCTGTGTAAGAACGAAGCCCTCTGCGACCACGTGAGCGGCGCCTGCATCTGCTCACCTGGATTCACTGGGCATCTCTGTGAAAAAAGTAAGCCTTTATGTCATTCATTATTTACTTTTTTAATGTAAAAGTTCAAACAGCTACCACATCTTATGTTTTTAGATATGTTTTGGATGTTGTCTGTTTTTTGTTTGACATGAGACCAGGTTGAACATAACCTAATACAATTCATACCATGTGTGAATGATTGAGGCAGTGTCATTTGGGTTTGTTCTGTACAGTTTCAAAAGAATGAAAAGCTTATTATTAGTTACTCAAAGGGTTATTTTGAAATTAGTAATGACCTGATCAGCCATTTTTTTGTCCCCGATACCGATCAGAGTCACTTAATATATTTCAAAATATTGAGCCAAAGTCTGTGAAGTTATTAAAATTAGTGCCACATGTGTAGTCAAATGAAAACTCTTTTTAAAAGAAACATACATCAAAAACAATGGTGATTTAAATTACAAATACCAAATATCATCCTTGTTTTTAATCAAAGTATACCTATAGAAATGTGTATTCTGGGGGGAAGAGGTGAGGACACTGTAACTCCTAACAATTCCTGACATCAGTCTGAGAACGCTTTCCCCACTTTTCACTTTCAGCTGTGAGGTAAATGAGGTGTTTCTAACTGTGAAGCCTATTTTGAGTAACCCTGCAGCTCTTGATTGCCTGCAGTCATTTGAGTTTGGTGTTCTGGAAAAGGAGCAAATCTAAAATATGCAGGACAGGGGCTGCTGAGAACCGAAAGTGAGAAATACTGGTGTCGTCGACCTGTTATGTATTTGAAACCGTCATGAAATGGGGTTGTTTGTAGATGGTGAGGATGAGGCGGTGGACCCAGATTGTGGTGAAAATGATGATTTTAATGAAAATACAGAGAGTACAAAGTCCAGGCAGCACATGTGAGCAATAAAGCAAGGAGCTCAGACACTGGTAGTAAATGGAACTAAGACACAAGGATCCAAGGATCCGACGAGGAGCAGGGAACACAGGAGAGCTTAAATACACCAGGGCGTAATTGGGGAGACAAAAGACAGCTGAGGACAATCAAGGGGAAGACACAACATAGAGACTCGATTAACCCTTGTGGGTGCGAGGACTGAGGCAAACGTAGAGGACTGTGGCAAATGATACAAGTTTTACATGTGTGGCTGTTGGTTGGACCCCATTTGTGGACTCAAAGGTTATGAAACCTGCTCTAGTAATGATTTGAAATCTAGGAAACAGAATGTATTACTTTGAAATCACTTTTTTATGCCTGATTGTATTATTACTGATTCCATTTAGCTGTACCATGTATTTAATCGCTCTCCATTTATTGCTGTGGCACCATACGAATGAATGGTATTCTAGAACCATATTTAATCTGTAGCATTGCTATTTACTGTATCCAACAATTTATGCTCAGATCCTTTAGTTGTATCCACGTGTCGGCCTTAGACTCAAACGTTCACAAACAGTTTTAACTCCAAATACACTAGAGGGTGCTGTAGGACATTTCTTCATGTTTCACAGTTAACGCTGAATCCAATGAATCACCAGCCTGTCATAACTGAAACCATTTTAAGGCCACACAAATCCCAAGATGTGATTTGTATTAGTCATTCTGAGACAGATGGAGTGTGTCTCTGCAGCCACGCTGTCGTAGCAAGCTATTCGTGTAACTGTTCATCTCATCATCACCATGTTTGTCCTGAGCTGCAACAGTCCAAAAAATTTCATCCATGTAACAAATTCATTCTTGATTATAGTCCTTTGGCTTGAAGTGGCCTTGTGTTATTACAGACCAAAAGATTTACTGTGAGTTCACTACCAGCCAATGAAATTCATACCACCTTCCAAGTATGCAGGGCTTCTTAAATCATGGGTCTGTCACCCTGGAACAGAGCTTCACATCCCTAGTCATAACAGTCTGATGTGCAGTCATCACTCTGATTGGATATTGTTATAGAAATGCAGCCATTGGACTGACCAAATTTCATTTTCTTAAGGTTTAAACAGAGGTGTCCAGTTACGTGGTCTTCTGCAGAGTCTCTCCTTCAAGTAGGATTCTGGAAGGGCCTGGTCGGTGAGACGATCCAGATCTCTTCAATTTATCCGTTACTCAAACGTTTATGGCCAATCTACGTGGCGCTTTAATAAACACTGGCAATCTTCACTGGGAGACTTCCTTCACAAGTATCAGAACCCCTGGGAAAGATGTACGTCTTACCTTATATTTCTTCCTTTTAATTTGAAACTAAAAGGGTTAAATGATCTTTAATGTGACCTCTTTCATTCAGTATGTGTGAAGAATCCCACACTGGTGGATTTACATATGACCATATGTGTCCCCACAGCTTGTGTCACCCCTGCTGTCAACACTCTGAATGTTCAATTCAATTCCAGTTCAGTTTATTCACACAGTGCCAATTCCCAACAAATGTAGTTTGGAGGCAGTTTACAAAAAAAGTCATTTCAATTCATTCAGACATACTTCCTGCCTGATCCTAGTCATTCAACAGTACATCTCAAGGTATCTTAAAAAAGTTTCTTTCAAAGGAACCCAGCAGATTGGATCGAGTCGTTGACTTGCGGCATTCACTCCTTCTGATCGAACACATAGCAACAGTACAAAGTCAGTCGCCTTGAGTCATCGCTACAGCAATCCCTCATACCAACCATGCATGTAGCGATAGTGGAGACAAAAAACAACAACTATCCTTTAACAGTAAGAAATCTCTGTCAGAACTTGATTCAATACAATCTGCCACAACCTACTGGAGTTTTGAGAAGTCAGAGCAGACACAGACAATTGATATAGCGCTATTTTCAAAGTTCGTGAAAGTAAAAAGTCAGTAGGAGGAGAGGGAGGATGATTGGCGCTCATCCTATCATTCTGACAGTAGGACAACTCTTAGCTTTCACACCAGAGTTGCTTGTCAAATATAAAGCAGACCAGAGTTCCTTTACTCGGATAGCCCATCATCAATTTAACAGGTATGAAAGCTCAGCTGATCTCTGCCAGGAATCAAACAAGGGAACTTTGGTCAAAACTAATGGAAATCTCATTCTTGGTTCATCTGCAAGTGAACCTTGGCGCAGTTAACTGGAAGTGGTAAAACAACTGAACTATCTAGCAAGATGGTCAAGAACGTGAAACCAAGGCAGGATATGACAGACATATATGTGACATGAAAACATTGAATCCCTTCTTTACATTGTGTCACCATAGCAGGATGCCACTGTCTTTCCCTCTTTGCTGCATTTTTCTGTACTGTGGCGTTTGACTCGTGCAACAGAACAACATCCTAAATATCCTGTTGGCTCGCCCGCTGAGCGGTTGCTTGTGATGAGTAGCTGTTGTTACTGCATTATGTTGACCAGGCGGTTTAGTCCATCTTCAAAAATGCAGAATGAAAGCGAGCCAGACAAAAAGAAGGTGTGCAATTTTCTTACTCAAGAAATATTCTGGTGTGTGAGTTCTTTGAATGTTCTCTCTGTAGAGCTCCCCTCTAAAAGGTTGAAGATGCAAAGAAGAATGTTAAGACCAAACGTTTCTTGAGATGATCTGTAGTCATATTTTGTTTGTTGTGCTGTCTTTAGCTCAGTCCACAAGTTTCATGTACGATTTAGGTCTTGAGAGTGAGATGTAATCGAATAGAGTAGTATAGAAGTATATATTTATTGTCCCTGAGTGGAGAAATTCAGATGTACCAGCAGCAAGTGTTTTATGGTGGAAGTTACCTGATTTTTTAGTATTTAAAAGATCCTTGCAGTTCAAATAGTTAATGATGACAAACACTTTTTTATGGCCTTAGAACAGGCAATCCTGGTCCTCGAGGGCCGGTTTCCTGCACCTCTTAGATGTCTCCCTGGTCCAACACACTTGAATCCAATAGCTGAGTAATCTCCTAAGTGCAGTCAGGTTCTCTGCTAATGACCTCATTGTTTGACTCAGGTGTGTTGAAGTAGAGATACATCTAAAAGTTGCAGCAGGCTGGCCCTTGTGGTCTGGAGTTGCCCACCCCTGCCTTAGAATATAAACATGCCCACAACGTCACAGATCGTCCACTACACCCAACAGTGGGCATGGGGTGGGAAGGCTTAATCATAGTCCCATCTGACCAAAGCACATGGTTCCAGTTACAAAGTCCAAGAACCAACCTGCTCACAAAAGTCTTGGCCATTTGTGATGTGATAAAAAGATATATTTTTTCATCTAGTATTCGCCCTAAACAATTGGGTAGAGACTTGATGATCCAACTGTTTTCTGGGCTTTTGATATCTTTTACCTTCTCTTTCCATCATGCTCCCCGTGTTTGGTGTTAAGATGAACCTGGGTCTTCATCTGGTTTTGTTTATCACAGTTTGAGTTGTTTTAAACTATTTAACTATCACTCTGCACGACTTTACTCAAGCAGCTCTTTTCTTGTTTCTGTTTTCAAAGTTATAATGATTAATGCATGTCTTCTTACTTAAATGGTAGGAATATAAGAATAGTCACATAGTCTACATTTTCCCATTTTAAAGAATAACAAAAAGACAAGGACTTCTGTGTCGTGCAATATTTCCCCAAGGGGAAGTATATTAGTTCATGGACACGAAAAGTAAGGCGTAGGTAAAATAAAAAAGTAAGGCATAGGTAAAACAAAGTCAAAGTTGTATTTAAATTACTAGACATATTAGAAGTGGCAATAAGTAATAGTAATGAACAAATCTCTCCTGTAAATGAGATCCTAGATCTCAATGAGACAACCTGTGCAAATTAAGGTAAAATAATAAAAAAAAAACCTTGAGATTTGTCTTCGTTTGTGTCAGACGATGCTGCTGCAATAAAAAAAAAGGATATTTTACACCTCCTTAACAGCGGTATGAATAATTGTGGAGAGCACTGTAGGTTCACAGTGATTCCTACATACCACGTGACTTTGTCAGAAGCCTGGCTGTGGTGCTGGTGCTGATGGGAAGCATTTGAGTCAATTATTATTGAGGAAAAGAGGCCCATTTTCTGCGTTACGACTAGAACTTTTACTTCTCCAGGTACAATTAATGTGGATTGCGCTGCTCTGCCTCTTTGATGTTTGCTTCAAAATGCTGCCTTTTGTTTGCAGAAGAAAGAACTCCGGCTCAACGAACGTCGAAACATCCGTGTTATTGTTGCTTGTTTGGTTGTTGTTTAGGCCCTGATTGGCACCAGGAAGTTTTATTCTGCGTTCTGTCTCTCCGGTCTGTTTCTGTGGTGCGCTCTCGCTGGTTGTGTGGTCCCTGGACCTTCTTTATAGTCTGACAGCAGTGGCTCTTACACAACCAGGGATCTGGAAATAATCCTGCTGTCTTAAAGAGCTCATTTAGTCAAGAGATGGAGGCTTTCATTGATGGCCCGTATGTGCGTTTGTGTGTGTGTGTGTGTGTGTGTGTAGCTTTTGGCTAAAACATCTGTTCCTACCTATAAACAAAGAATCATAGGGAAGAGTCTATATTTATAAACACTATATGTCAATGCTCTACTATCAGAGGCCACATTGGTGCCTTGCTGGGGATATGAATACTTACTCCCCCTGCTGGCATGACATAGTGAAGTATGTACTTAACTACATGTAAGCGCAGAGGATGTTTCAGTATAAGTGCTCATATTTTAATGTGCTGAGCCACTGTAGAATTTGTAAATAAATATGCCAGGGTGATCCTCTCCTTGTTGCCATGGTTGTCAAATACAGTCCAGACAATAAACAGGCAATAAAGTGTCCATTTTGCTACCGCTAAGTTAATGTACAGCTGTTTTAAGATGACAGCATCCTCAGTGGGCCAGCTTCAATAAAACTGCTCTCTAACCACTTCTAAGACGGGCAAAGACGTCATGCTGTCAGCGTGGGAACACAGCAGTGACCAGGCAAGAAACTGCTGAGCAGGAAAGATGCTTTCACCAGTTTAAGACCTTGAGGTAAAAGAGCTGGAATGAGGAGAAAAGGAAAAGGTGATGAGGCATTAAAGAAAGATGATTTTTTTCCCCCCTCCTTTGGAAAATATTCATCGAATTTCTTGCTCAGGTTTGGCTGCTGCAGCAGAAAACCAAGGCACCAAAGAGGAAGCAGATCCTTTTGCCTCTTCACCATTTCCTACCTTTACAGTTTTGTTCCTATCATAACCAACCTCACTGGATGTGAATGGTGCCAGCTTCCATGGGGCTGTTGATATCAACCTCTATGACTCCAGTAAACTATATCTACTCACAGAGGGTTAATTATAATAATTTTGGTTTAATCAAGTGTCCTAATCGGTTATGTCTGAGGAGTCAGATTGTTGGTCAGAAATTAACAAAATGCAAATAAACTGTAATATAAAGTTTCAACGGATGGTGCACAACTAAGTTACACACTTTTGTTGGTTAGTTTGAGCTTTTTAGGGGGACTTATATCTCTTGATAATCCAGACACCATTGTATGACGTTACAATGGTGTTCACAGGTAAAAATTGCATTGGGCAGGTTTGAATTAGTGTTGACCCAACACTGACCAATAGTCATTGATCAGGGTTCCTTTGAATCAACACAAGAATTAGGCATTTTGTTGTTGTTGTTGTAAAGACTTCCAAACTACTACGTTCAGGTTAGGCTCTGATCACCACAGCAACAAACCGAGCAATCAAAAATAGGTTGTGAATAAACAAAGTCATTCCTTCCTGCCCAAATGAAGTCATGCTTGCTGACAATATTTACATCCTGGTGGTGGAAAAGGCCCATTCATGCCCCCAGCCTCTGGCTAGCTTCTGTTTTGAGAGTGGACACCATGCTTAGAAAACTCTGTGAGTGTCACTTGACTTTGTGCACACTGAAGCAGTCTTTTTAGCCCTCACTGAGAATGGGAAACAGACCCTCAGACTGGCATCTGCTTGTTTCTTGCAGCAGCATCGTAGGTGCGTGTGTGTGTGTGTGAACAGTAACCAGGCTTTGTTTTACCGTAGGTTGGAGGGGCCTGTGCACACAGCAGGTGCTCTATTTACCGGCTTTTCGTGCCCCCTCTACCCTAAAGAAAGGAGGGGGTTGGGGGAGGCCTCTGATCCGCCATAAAACTTTGATGTGGCCCAGATCCACCACACATGTGGGGGACAGGAGCTCACTTAACGAACGCAGGCGCTCAGCTGCCGCCGCAGCGTGGTACTGCAATTTGATATTGGTATTTTGGGGAGATGGCAGGGCTGAGAGGGAAAGTAGGAGGGGAAGTGTACGACTTTTTAGAAAGAGAGAGAGAAGTATGTGAAAAAAGCTGGCATCAAACCTTTTGCGCTGCCAGTTCTAACCAGTCGGATGTTTTATCTCGGCCCACAGCGTGCCCGGACGGCTTTTACGGGCTTGACTGTGGCCAGATGTGCGAGTGCAGGAACGGTGCCCGCTGCCACCACATCACAGGAGCCTGCCTGTGCACCGCCGGCTGGGCAGGACCACACTGCATTCTGGGTAATGGAAGCCACATCATTAAAACAGGGTGTGAGGGAGGCCCTCGCTGCGGCCCTTCACGACATCCTCTCCTAAAAGCACAACTAAGATGTGTTTGTAAACAATTATCTATATAATGAGACATTGCCAATGACTTTTTTAGGGATGCGTAAGGGAGGAGAGTGGAGGGAGGACGAGAGTGCCCTCTGGCACCCGGGGTTTAATTGAGGTCTATTCTGGATAAATGCACCCACATGTATATAGAGATCAGAATCAGGGAAGGGAGAACATAAGTTGGAAGAGTCTTTTAGCAGCTAACCAATAAGTGTTTTCATGCTGAAGTTTCTTGAGGATTTCATGGCTTTGTTTTAATGAAGCCTGTGAATTGCCCACTAAAATTCTAAGTCTGTGATTCTGCAGCTTTATTCATGGCTTTGCTTTTTCCGCAGCCATTTTGTGGTTCCAGCTATCAGAGCTCGAGTCAGCAGAAAGCCACTAATATGAGCTAATGATCTATCTTTGCCATTTGCTCATTTTGTTTTTTTGTTTTTTTTCCCCCCCCTCAAGCGCCAAATGTCAAGTTCACCTTTCAGTTAGCAATGCGTTTATTTGATTAAAAGAAAAAAAAAAAAACAACCTGGCTGAAGCTATAACATTATAAAGCTTGGTCTTCTGCAGATTTCCTGTAGAGGATTTAGTGTTGCACGGTAATACTTAGTCATTGTGCCCATGTATGTTTTGCATTGTCAGAGTGCCAAAAAGGTCGATTTGGAGAGAACTGCGGTCAGACCTGTAAGTGTCAGAACCGGGGCATTTGTGACCACGTCACCGGGCGATGCAGCTGCACAGATGGTTGGACCGGAGCCCACTGCCAACTGCGTGAGTATCTCACCACTTAAGTAACTTTACAAACTTTATAGCCATCGATGGTGGGATGAAAATGGGTAATTAATTTGCAACGTGTCTGGTCATCCAATAGCGCAATAAATAGAAACACAATACACAACACAGCACTTATTTTGTAGTAAAAGAAGACCAGAACAGAACAGAGCCGTCAGTGTCCACAAAGCGCACAGTGGAATCTGACAGGCGCCAGCGCTTCCAGTTTTAGTTTATTAGGCCTAACCATAACAGCAGGTACAAAAGAGATTCTATGTCTCTTTTTCTTTACGGCAGGCAAGAAGCTGGAAAACTGTAAAGAGAGGATGATCCGAACATAACATGACAGAGGTAACCTTCCTCAGCACCTGAAATTGGACTTGAGTCCTCACCAAAATCTTACCAGCCACCTCCGTTGGATTACCGAGTCCATAGTCGTATTGGCCATAGACGAGTTAAAAGAAGAGCAATCATTTCAGAAGATTCCCTTAAAAGTACAGATTTGGATGGACTAGTTTTGTTGCAGCGATAACATGAAGTAAAAGAAGAGGGCAAGAATGTTCTCCAAATACTTTTACTATTCAATATACAGTCGCTGGTACATAGTAGGATAAAGAGACATCAAGCCTGTAGATGAGTGCAACTCATTGGACATCCACTGGCTGTCGCACACTGAGATCTACCAGGGTTTTAAGAAATATCAAACATCTTTTAGTGATGTAGGAGTTTTTGGTTTTTGCAACTGGAGCAGCAACTGAGTTTCTTTGTACCTCTGGAACCTTCTGTTTAAGGAGTGATTAGATAAAGATGTGAGGAAGGAGGCTGCACAATATCTCAGTATGGTGTTAGGACATGACACATGTACACAGTATTACCAGGCCCTGCATTTTTCATAGACTTGGGTCGTTTTACAAATAAAGCTGCACAGTTTTGAAACTGGACATAATCATTACATTGTCACGTTACAACCACATATTTCAATTAATTTTATTGGGATTCTATGTGCTATTTCACAAAACACTACAATGCATATAATTGTGAAGTGGAAGGACAGAGTTAGATGATTTTCAACATTTTCCACAAATAAATATTTTTTTTAAGTGTGGCATGATGCTTCCACTTTCAGCCTGAGTTAATACTTTGCGGGGCGTCTTTGGGGTTTGGATGTATCAGCTTTGTACTGAGAGTTTTGAGAAGAACCTCATGCTGCCACTCCCATGCTTCACAGATGAGATCATGTATTCAGGGATATACAGATTATGTTTTTTTTTTTTTTTTTAGAAACATTGTTTTACACCATAATTCCAAATTTCTCCACAGTTTTATTTATCACCTCTCTGGTGAGTTCTTTGGTCCTTGTGATGCTGTGGAACAAAAGTTCCTCTGTAACCTTCACAGATACTAAGAATAACACATAGTTGGACTCTATTTACTAAGATTTTTTATAAAACTATAAAATTTGGGGGTTGGGGGGGGGGGGTGGGTTAAAAAAACAACAGGGGGCAGATTCAGGAAAAAAAGAGGTTTTTTTT